AAAATGGTGACCCTGGAGTACATTATGCTGAGTGAAATATCTGTCACAGAAGGACTACACAGTGCCACTCTTGTAAAATGCAACTGACATCGGAGTTGGGGAGAACCTAAGAAAAGAGGGAATAAATAATGTATACTGCATTGAAACAGATGAGGGAGAGAACTATTTGAAAGGAATATAGAATTGGGTATAATTTTCATGACAAGATTACAGAAAAATGAAATTCATAGTAAAGTGGACTGTGGACTTGCAGGGAATTGTGTAACAATGAAAGATTTTTTTTTTCTTTTCCAAGAGAAAAACGAACGAGGAGGAAGTGGGGGCAGGGTGGAAAATGTGCAACAATGAATGAATGAATGGGGGAAAAAATAAATGGAAAGAATATGCTGTAAAAAATATATGTTGCATTAAAAATCATTAATTTAAAAAAATTAAATTTAAAAAAAATCACAGGAACTACTCATACCAGTCAGCATGTTTTATGTGTGTTATTATTTGAAAGGTGGGTACCATATTAATACGATATGGTATACATGGCACTGTGTTAGAGCATTTGAGTTCTCCCACCATTTATAATAATTGAGTTTCTTCAATTCTGCCTTGATACTAAACACTTTTTGAAAATAGTTTCCTTATTTTCTAAAAATAATCTCTCCAAAAACATATTTGTATGCTATCTTAAAAATCAAGAGAAAATTCACAAAATAACCTACCTGAAGATGTTTTCTATACGGCATCCTATTTCAAAGTCTGGATTCCTGCTGGAATAGTGATTAAAGAATTCAACTACTAATTAAGAGGTTGGCAGTTTGAACCCACCAGCTGCTGTGCAGGAGAAAGATGACACCATCTGATTCTGTGACGATTTACAGCCTTAAACCCCTCTGGGTGTGCTACTCTGTGCTCCAGGGCCAGTCCAAGTCTGAATCGACTTGATGGCAGTGGGTATTTTGAATGTTCTAAAGTCCTGTCTAATGGCTTGTAACAAGTTAAGCTAATGAACAATTTGCAGAATTATGGAACACATGAATAACAATTTCATAGTAGAATAAAATTTCAGCAACATAAAAGCTTCGTGGAGCTAGTTGAGATTAGCCTAATAAAAGGGGAGAAATGAAAAACTAGGAGTCTTGGGGGAAAAGAGTCATTAAATTTTGGCCTGCATTGAGGAAAATTGCTATTTTAACTATTAGGGATATTTGAGTGGGTCTCTCAAATTTTGAGTATTGACTACTTTAAAAATAAAACGGGTAGTAGGAATTGAACAGATCCACAAATGAGTATTTTCTTTTTAAAATGTCAAAAAGTGGAGATAAGCAAGATAGCCAACAGTGTTGGTTTTGTTTTGCTTTTTGTTAAATAATGTTTCATTGTGTTTTCAGTAAAGGTTTATGTTCAAATTCAGTAATCTCTACATAAGTTTTGGGGGATATTGCTTACACTCCTCTCAATTCTTAAAAATTTTATTGGTTTATGTGCATTCATTCATATACATTGTGTTTCATGCATGTATACTGTATTTTAAACAATCGTTCATTTACCTTGCGTTTTATACAATCCTTCATTTACCTTGTGTTTTATACTGTCATCCATATATATTGTATTGTATATCATACTTGCTATTTGTATAGGCCTATTTTGGTATATGCCTACATTGGTATATACTTTCTGATCTGGGAAGTATTAAAAGAAGATGGAAAGAATATACTGAGTCACTGTATCCAAAGGAATTGGCAGACACAGAAGAATTTAATGAAACAATATATAAGCAAGAGCCCATGGTGATGAAGGAAGAAGTTTAGGCTGCTTTGAAGGAATTAGCAAAAAATAGATGGTATACCAGTTGACATATTTCAGCTAACACATGCTGCCCTGCATGTGCTTACCAAGTTGTGCCAAGAAATCTGGAGAACAACCACTTGGCTAAGTGACTGGAAGAGATCTTTATTTGTTCCCATTCCAAAGAAGGGTGACCCCACAGAGTGTGGAAACTATAGAACAATATCATTGATTTCACATGCAAGCAAGATTCTACTGAAGATTATCCAAAAATGACTGAAACAGCACATCATCAGAGAGCTGCCAGAAGTCAAGGCTGGGTTTAGAATGGGTCGTGGTACTAGGGATATAGTAGCTAATGTTAGATGGATCTTAGCTGAAAGCAGCAAATACCAGAGGAATGTCTATCTTTGTTTCATTGATTATGCAAAGGCATCTGACTGTGTGGATCATAACAAACTGTGGTTGACTCTGAGAAGAATAGGAATCCCAGAACACTTGATCATGCTAATGCGAAACCTATACTTAGACCAAGAGGCAGTCATCAGAAGAGAGCAAGGGAACACTGCATGGTTTAAAATTGGGGACGGTGTATGCCAGGGATGCGTCCTGTCTCCATACGTTTTCAACCTGTATGCAGAACAGGTTATCGGGGAGGCTGGGCTCTATGAGGAGAAGTGCAGTGTCAGGATTGGTGGAAGATTCATCAACAATCTGCGTTATGCAGATGACACAACCCTGCTTGCTGAAACTGAGGAGGACCTGAAGC